GCCCTCCAGGAGTTGAACCTATGGATGATGATGGGGGCTCATGGAGCTGAGTCCAAGCTGGAGGCAGGAAGACCTCCCCGCCCTGGTGCCTTCAAGGTGAGCTGGTGCTTTAAGCCCCTTGTCACTCCCCAGGGCTGGGAGATCATTCCACTCCCTCCTCAGATTCAGCCCCTGAGCCCCCATTACCTATAGGCTCTGACTCCTGGGTCCCCAAGGGGCCAGAGATTTCTGGTGGAGACCCCTGGTTCCCTGAGGGTCCAGGATCTCCAGGCCCAAGCAGCTCCTCCATCCCTTCAGGTCCTCAGGCTCTCCACTTGACGGCCGAGGTGCCCGGGATTAGCAGTGGCTGGCGCAAAAGGAGCCCCCGCCCTCTGGTGCTCAAGGGTCCCCCGCCACAGTGCCCTGCTCTTATTGGTCCGTCATGGGAAAAGGCCCCTCCACCCGTTCCAGAAGAACCCTGGAGTTCTAAGGAACACCATTAAAAGGAAACTTGAGAGGCAGTGCATTTCAGTTAAGCCAGATATATTTTTCAGAAGATGGAAAGCTGGCTAATGACTAAACAAATTTGGAAAAACCTCAGTCAACTTGGAGATGCTTTACAAGAAAAAAGTCAATTCTCTGTGTGAATAATTCATGACAGACTTTGCTTTTCTGTTGCAAAGAGGAAGCAAAATTGTGGACCTCAAGCAAAGTGAAACACTAGTTTATTTCTTTTGTAAAATCATCAGCTTTACAAGCAACCAACACACAAAAGGTCAGCAAAAGGAGGCTATTCAAATAACAATATGCTTACAACCATAATTATTTTTATTAAGCTGTGGAAAATAATTATACCTTAGCTATGAGTTAACATTCTGCATATATTTAGTAACTGCTTATAAACTGCAGCCATCCAGGAACAAGACCACCTGGGAGTAGAACATAATTAAAATGGTAATAGGCCCAATGAGAAGAGAGAATATTTGCTCACCATTTGCCCAAGGGAAGGGTACCGGTTAACAAAAGTCTCAGAATGTAAACAGCACAACAAATCTTTTGAAATATTCATCCATTTGTAAAGGAGCAGTTGTTTTTAAGCTGCAACATTAGCTAGAAATAAAAACAAAAGAATAGCATTCCTGTAATAAAAGTAGTTCTACTGCTAGTTTTGCATGCCTAGCATTTTCTGTATGCTAGCTGGGAAAATGAGGCTCTTCGGATTTTAAACTCTCAGGCTTGATACCCTCCTCAAACGTTCAGGGAATAGGTGGATAGTACTTAAAGGTTCCCCCCTCCCCCCGTTTTTCCTCTCTATCCTTTCTTCAAACGATAATTTCTTGGTTCTTTAGTATCTCATAGGCCTTGGAGGAAAGGGAGTTACCGCCAGCAAACAAAGCACAGGAGCAAGAGGAGAGAAGAGAAGCCGAGGCGAGTGAACCCGGGAGTCTCTTTCCGGGCTCTGGGGAAGGCAAGACTGCCTGCTTCCAGGGCGCTCTGGTCCATTTCCTTGCCTTCTCTTGCTTTCTCATCCTCCAGCGTTCTCTCCAGTATTTCGTGGGTACCAGCCATGCACAGTCCTGAATGGGTTCTTGTTGTTGTTGTTTTGCTTTGCTTTTATTCATGCCTTTTGACCTGTTAGGTTTCTTTTTTTCCCCTTATCCCTCAGGTTTATTGTAAGCTTGATGACACGGATCCACTGAGCATCCTGTTTCTCTGGGCCCTTGCTTTGGCTACAGCCCTCTTGACGATAACCAGGAGTCCGATCCAGTCCGCATTTTATCAGTTCATTTCTTTAGCAAAACACTATTAGTACAACTGAGTAAAAGGAAGCTAGAGACTACTAGCAAACACTTGGTACAAGTAAAATAATCCGGTTACCGGAATTTCCCATTGGCATTGGCTTGCAGATAAAAGACCTTTCGGAGAAAGACTAGGCACTAAACAGTAGCAAATTACTGCAGAAAAGAAACTGTCAATCTACAGAATTTATGCATGTTAGTTAAGAGTAATAGAGAACTGCATAAAACAGTCTCAACGACAAATTAATGCATAGCTTTTAATTTTTGAGGTGTTACAGAGAAGCTTTTGCTTGTAAGATTTGTTTGGGGTTCCGTTGATGAGGACTTGTGAATGGCTTGTTTTTCCTGATGAACAGAAGAGGTCTTCTTTGACTGGCAGTTTCCATGACAGTAAACCATTTCAACAGCTGCAATTTTCTATTTGAGGATAAATGCAGTTGCTGCAGTGCGCACAGTTTTAAATTTTCTTCTGTTGAACAGAGACTTAGAATTTTCTTGAAGCCATTTTGTTATTTATTACCAGTAAATGCTTTCCTGTCTCCTAAAATGTAGACTAAAGATAATGAGAAAGGATAGTTGAAAATCTGCTGATGCTTGGAACTCGCTTACTGTGAAACTTCAGTTTGTTGGACAACATGCAAAATATAAAATGCTGCTACACTTTAATAGCTTCAAGCGGATATTTTTGATTGTTATAAAATAGTGTGATCAAAGTCTATAGTCTTTACTTTATATTTCATGTTATATATTTTTTGGAAATCAATAGTTGCTTTGAAAATTCTTGTATGCTATTTGTTTCTCCTCCCATGAAAATTCCATTAAATTTACAAGACTGCAGAGCCTGCATCAGATGAAATCTACACTAACATGCCTGCATTTGAGAAGACTTAATGCTACCCTGCTATACACAGACTTAGTTCAATGTGTTTCTCTTTCCTCGGGGCATTTCATCCTTTTGAGAATGCAGGGACTTGTCCTAGACCTCACAGTCCTGAATAATTGGGGTGTACCTGGAAATCCAACATGCATCATGCTTTCTTCACTGATGTTTCTCCTTCAGACTTTGCCAGTGCAGCAACTTTAAATACCTCTTGCTGTGTGCTTTTGTTCAAAGTCGTGTGACTGTGACTATATGGATAAACAACCTGGAGTTGCGGTGAGCAATGCGCTAGTCAAGTTTGATGGTGTCAGAACTGTTCAGAGTAATGAAAATCCAAGTAGGGTGTTTTGTTGAGTTCCTATCCCCCAGGATCAAATGTAAAATCAAAAGTGCTTGTAGTTAATCCCAAGAGTGATCTGTATGAATGGTTTGTGGAAGCTTTGGTGACATTTAGTTCTGTTTTCAGAGAGCGAGAGAGAGTGAGAATGGAATCAGTTACCTCAAGAGGTGGTGAGTGCTCCAATGCCGGAGGCCTTCAAGAGAAATTTAGACAGCTGCCTGGCAGATATCCTTTGATTGGGATTCCTGCACTGAGCAGGGGGTTGGACTGGATGGCCTTAGAGGCCCCCCTCCAACTTTATGAGAGAGACACTCATGCTGTGGAGACAAGAGGGATGGAGTCCTTCCCTCTGTTGCACAGATAGAATACAGTGGGGAGAAGGAAGGCTAGTGCGAAAGGAGCTTGCTGGAGCAGCCTCCTCCTTGCCCAGAGCTTGAAACTGTAAAACAACAGCAATTCTTTGTTATCCTCCACGCTTTGAACCAGCAGTGACTGTTGTTAGTGTCACTCCAATTTATCACATTGTAGTCACTACCATTTTGTGTTGCTTTCCTATCAGAAGTTAAAAACAAAACAGGGAAATATTCAACCATTACTCTGTCCCTTAGTGCCAGGAGGAGCCAGATAGCTGTGGTGATTCTGCCAAGCCTCAGGTGAGGTTTGGGATACTAGCCACCTGCAAAATGTGTAGGAATTCTTGGGTTGCCCCAAGAACCAGTGTGACGTGGCAGAGTGGACTGGGATGAGGAAAACACACACACACATCCTTCCTGGCTGGTGTGACAATGAGAATAAGATGTGAGTGAGAACCATGTGAGCTGCCCTGACCTTGAAGGACAGGCAGGATAGAAATGTACATGGAATGACAGGGTGACTGTATGGCAGGAGGAGAGTCAAGGGAGCAATTTTTCCGTTCTTCTTAATTTAGGTAAAGGTTCCCCTTGACATTTAGTCCAGTTGTTTCTGAATCTAGGGCACGGTGCTCATCCCCATTTCCAAGCCGTAGAACCAGCGTTTGTCCATAGACAGTTTCCGTGGTCACGTGGCCAGCGCGACTGGACATGGAATGTTGCGACCTTCCCACCGAGGTGGTACCTATTTATCTACTCACATTTTTACATGCTTTCGAAAGGCTAGGTTGGCAGGAGCTGGGACAAGCGACGGGGGCTCACTCCATCGCGGGGATTCGATCTCATGACGGCTGGTCTTTTGACCTTGCAGCACAGAGGCTTCTGCAGTTTAACCCACAGCACCACCACGTCCCCTTCTTCTTAATTTAGTGTTGTGCAAATACACATTTTACACCCATCTCGGAATATTGCATACTGCAGTCAAAGCTGTTTATCATCTGGTGTAGGACTTATTTACAGGAAAGAAAATGCTGAGTCCAGTTAACTTGAACAGCATGATTCATATTGCTTCAAACAATTTTGCATGCTAGGTATTTTATTTGCTGGGCCTCTGGCAGTTTTTTGGGGGACAGATTGCTCATGGAGAAAATTGTTAACTTTCTTTTGCCTTTTAACAACAATGTCACTGCTTTCCGAGTAAGTGATAAGTGAATTGTGTGCCCGTCTTACTAATCTCATAAGAAACTTTGGTTCAGTATTATAAGGGAGAAGGGAGTGTTTGGTTCTCTTCTCCATGCCTTGCGGCCTTAAACAGCAATTTGTAAATAAGACTTGCTTCCTGTCTTGATACAGGGAAAATAATCACCTACTGGGGGAACATCAAAGCTCCTGTATCTCATTTTATCTTATCAAGTTATCAAGGGTTTCACCTCATTTTAAAGTTCTTCATTTCAGCCATAGTATGTAAATTAACCATGTGTGAAATTTCTGCTTCTTGTAAAGTGTCAGGTATTGTAAGCATCAAATTTTGTTAATTTTCTGTTATAGACATTTTATATTCCCTTAGTACATTTTAAATCTCTACATATGAAGGTTTTAGTGTGTTTGAAATTGTTATCCATTTTAAATTTTTGTTTCCTTTTATCTGATAGGAAAAACATCAGAACGCAGTCCATTCCCGTTGTTTGGTCGAGACCCTGGACTCTCAGGCTGCCAGGTAAATCTTGTTCTAAAACATGGCAGGGGCTGTTATAACTAGCCAGCTGGAAGGCCATTACTGCTTTTCAGCTGAGCATGCATACTGGGCCTAGCAGGTTGGGTTCACCGAAAGAGGGGTCAGCTGCCTCCATAGACAAGGGCCGTGAGGCTTCTCAGTAGGAAAGGAACGAGGGGAAGGTCTGTATTCCGCTCCTGTTCTACAGGGCCAAACTTCTTTTCTATTGTCTGGGAGACAGACAGAGGCTCAACCTGTAGAGCCTCCTTATTTTCCATTCTTAAGAGTGGCCACCAGGCATCATGTCCACCTAATTTGAACTGTGAATTTTATGCATTGAAGCTTACCTCTCTTTAGATTATTGTGAGAGGGAAGAGAGAAGAGGTAGAGATGTTAGACAGAAGATTTATGGACACCAGCCTGAAAATTAGTATAATAATAACAAAGTAAACAAGAATCATACCAACTGGTCACATCCAGTTGCAGAGAGGTTACAGGCTTGACTTGATCAGAGGATGCTCTTCCCATGAGAAGTGAAGTCATCACAAAGGAGGAGATTAGTCCTTTCCACCAGTCCGCCAGCCTCTGTCTTGCCAGACAAGTTTTCCCTGATAAAATTTTAGATAGAACCTGAGACACCTCTGCAAAGACGTGGCCAGCTTTGAATCATGAAGTCCTCAACCCTTGCTCTGAATCCCCCTCTGTCTGTTCAGGAAGGGGAACAGCTACTAGGTAGTGGGGTGAGCGGTAGAGGCACCAAAGGGCTCTGAATCCCCCTCTGTCTGTTCAGGAAAGGGAACAGCTAGGCAGTGGGGTGAGCGGTAGAGGCACCAAAGAGAACCCCTGTTGTGTCCTAGCTGCACAGTGCTGTTGAAGCAAGACATGCTGTTGCGCAGAGTCCTTGACAAGGAGATGGGCCGAGCCTCCCCCAGTTTCTCTCCTCAGGGGGTGCCTAGAGCATCACCTTGGTGACGTTCACAGGCACCCCTTTGCCCAGCTTGGTTCTTGCAGTGTCAGTGCGGTTGGCCTCTTCTCCCCAAGGATGGTTAACCTTACTGTTAACCCGGCATCCACTAGCAATCTCCCACAAGCTTGAAGTTAAGATGTCTCGGTTGTTGTGGGTGGAAGGTTGGCTCCGCTTCTGACCTCAGCATCATCCGTCCATTTGCTACAGTCTGGTGATGGTGGTAGCTGAGAGGGAGTGGCGGTAGGTGGCCAGTTAGCCCAGGAGGAAAAACAAGAGGAGTTAATCCACAGTTACCTCCTGCTTCTGGTCGTGCTCTTTGGCATTGCCTCCATGTGCACGTGCAGACAGAGGCTGGGTTCAGGGAATAAAGCTGCAGCACTGGGTTATGCCCATCGTGAGAGTGTTCCAAGGGCCTCTTTCAATGCATTGTGATGCTTACTTCTTGACAAATGTATAACTAGCAGACTCCAGATAGCTCTGAAAATGTCAAAAATGATACTAATTAAAAAAAAACACAGAGCTTGTCAGTGTTAAGAAGATGGTTGTCAGTTCTGAGATTTGTTTCCCACATTCTGAAAACATAGACTGGCCTGGTGCATTTGATGGGTAAGTTAATTTTTCAAAATTTCATGATATCTACACAATGATGGTAAAGTTCAGGGTATTTTTCACTGAGTAATGTTTTGCTGAGAGCTCAGTGCTGCTTTTTTCTCCTCTTCCCACTTATTTTTTAAAAAAAGAACTGTGAGATCCTGTGCATGTTTGATGACTGGCTAGCACAATGCATTTAATGAAAACTTTCTAAGACAAAAAGCACAAGAGAGAATCCTAATCTGTCTCATTTTCTGTGCGTTGCTATTGATTGCCCATTCAAGGCTCATTGTTTCCACTATCTAATGATATTCTCAGGAGTGGATTCTTACAACTTGTGGATAATTTGACATTTCTATGTGGATTGAATGCACAATACAAGAGGATTTTTGAACAGCCATTATTTCCCCCTTTTTTTGGTATTTGAAAAAAAAGAGACGATCTTTGTAAAAGTCAGAAGAGCTGCTCTTAGATCTTCTACATTCTACTTCAATTTATTTAAACCATTTTAATTGCCAGAGAACTGCTAGGCAGCTCACGGGTTTATGCCTCTATCTGCAAAGCCAGAAGTCGGGAGTTTGATTCCCCCACGGGGCCTCCTTGGCAGGGGCTGGACTTGATGATCCATAGGGTCCCTTCCAGCTTTGCAGTTCTGAGATCTAAGAATGGTGAAGACACCATGAAAACTTTAAAACCAACTCAAACTTGCTCAGCTAAATTGGTAAAACCAGAGAGTTGTGTCACCATGCCATCTCTGAACAGTGGGAATAACTGAACTCTTAATATTCTGTTCCCTCTGTCCCACTTTTTCATCTCTGTCACACAATCATTAGCATGTAAGGTAGAGGAGAAGGGTGGGTTTAATACTGAAGCTGGTCTTTCTGCAGAATGGGAAGTCCATACACCTCAGTGGTGTGGTGTGTCTTTATTTTTCTTTTTAACTGCTAGTGCCAAAAAGGAAGGAGGAGTATCTTCCTAGGGTCAGGGCACAGCCCGAGAGGGCCATGTTTCATTTTTATCTAAAAGGACTGCACAGGTACCCTTCCCCATTCAGGTGCACAAGCCAAACCAATGGAAGTGCATACATTCCAAAACCCAGTACTTTTAAGCTTGAGGGAGCAGAGTCGGTCACCTTGCAGTCATGCCCTGCTGAAACGCTATTAACATCTGAATCTTATTTGTGAATACTGAAAAACTGAACCTGCCTTTATTTTATTGTTGGCTGCGCTTGTGTACTAATGCAAATATGCCCAAATGATTTGAGGTAATAAGTTTCATGGATTTCCTGTAAGACTTGTATTCCTCAGAAACTATTGAGGAAGCCTTTAGCTTTAATTGACCTGCCATTTGAATTTAATGTAAGTTTCTTTGGAAGCGATGCTGACAATGTCCAGGAATCTCAGATCTGCCCAGTGAATAGTCAAGTCTTTCTGCAGTGAGTGATCACTCTTTGGATGGCTGACGGAGACTCTTTATGGATTAGCCAGGACAGTCTATTCGTCCTCTGTGGTTTTAATGGAGGTGGCTTACAGCATGGCATGCTTATTAGTGAGGACAGTAATCCAGGCAGTGCCGGTCAGTATTCCAGAAGGGTAACCTTTAGTAATTGGATGTAAGTATAGCAGATGAGGTTTAGCTCACCAGAAGACTCTCAGTGCGGTTTGCATGCGTCATGTTGGTGAACTCATCTTTGTGCAGAGACCTCAGGCAGTTGACTGCTTAAGAAGGACCCTGGTATCGATAATATAAAGCTTCTTTGCTACTGTCATGATCACCCTTGGGATAGGAGTATTCTGCCTCCATCTGATGCCCTCAGGACACAATAGATCTTAATATTGCTTTTCAGTTGGTTCTGCTAGGCAGAAAAATCAATGTGATGAGTTAATTACATCTGTATCGATTTTAATTTGGCAAACAGTAGTAGTTCAAATTAAAAACTTTTTGAAAATACTTCTCAGGAGTCAGCAATAATATAGAAAAATAAGTAAGCCAAACTCTTTTTTAGCAAGTTCCTTTTAAAAATGCTGACTTCTCTAGAATTTGGGAAGTTGCCTTGGTAACTGTGCTAGTTTACTAAGCAGTTTTTCTGAATTTTAAAATGCGCCTCCGCCTCCCCTTATTTCCCAGTTTCTTAGTCTGAAATGAGAAGGCCGGATCCTCACAATCAGAGGGGCTGCCACGAGGACCCCTGCCTTGGAGCAATTACCTCCCAGCACAATAGAAGCCGTGGATTCCTCTCCTTGCATTAACAGGAATTACAGATTCCTGTTCTTGAACCTCTCCCCTTCCCCACTCTCCCCCTGCAAACAGTGTAAGCATTCCCAAATTATTTTCCTAAGATAGCTTCAAAATTTCTTGTTGCTTTCAGAGTATCTAAACAGCTGCTCAGAACTGTATCAAGGATGGAATCGTAGGATAAATAACTTGCCCAGCTTACTTTATTTAAAAAAATGAAATGGTGTCCCTTCTCTGGCAAGAGGAAATCTTGAAGTGGGCCTTAGATGATGTCCTCTGTGTGTGCAAGGACCAGGTTGCATCCTCACCATGGCTTCCTCTATGGTCAGGGCTTGAATAATTTTAGAATGTCTCACCAGTCAGTCAAAAATTTCACCAGTCAGCATGACTGGACTTTAGCCTTGCAATTTATGTTAACAAATTTAAACTAGGCACTTGTTCACTCTTACTTCTACGTAACAATGCGTACAAACCCAAAATAAATTGTATTATGTACCCTCAGACGGGTTGCTTCATTACCTGCCTGCCTGTGGGGTCGTGAAGCTTGTATTTTGAATGTTTTTCTTTTGAATGTCTCCAGCAAAAATAAAACTGAAAGCAAAAGTGCCCAGCCTCTTAAGGAGCCACGGTTCCCTCCCACCCCAGGATGTGTCCTTATTGGGTTGAAATTAGGAGCAGGGAATCTCCATATTCTCCAGCATGGGACTACTCTACATTCTCCTGCATAGCTATATATCTATGTGCCACTCGAAATCTCTTCTTCAAGAAGAGGGCTGTTTTCCTTTCGCAATGGAAGGGGAGGGGGAGGGGAGGACTGCAGGATCATTGAGAAAGAGAGAGAGATGGGCGGAGGGTAAGGAGGCAGGGAGGGAGGGAGCTGTGGATCGTCAAACAGCATTTTTTCACTCGTCACAGACAAGTGGACGAGTGCATTTTTCAAGCCCTGTCTATGTTGTGTGTTTGTGTCCATGTGAACACACACACAGCTGGTGTAACATGTGTTGGCTTCCCTGTCGCAGAAACCAGACTACCCTGGCTCTCCTGACACCTTGTTCTTGGGGAGGTAAACTAGACCTAAAGGAAAAGGAGGTGGCACTGGTGCATTGTGTAATTGCATTTTATTGTGGTGTAAGGTTTATGTTGTTTCGGTTGGATGTTTGTTTAACAATAATAAAAGAGAAGAAGGGCAGATATAAGAAAAGAAAAGAAAAGGAGTTGGCAGGTGGCAGATTTGCCAGATGCCCCAAAGTGTGACCAAAAAAGACTGTTTGAAGCTGCTGATAAGACATACTGTAGTTACATAGCTTTGGGGGAGGTCTCAGCAAGTGTGGATTTCCTGAAGCCTGAAGTGAGTCTCCAGTTCAGCCGAGTCTGGGTGTGTGGAGTTGCCTGATAGCAACTCAAAGCATTGGCCCATCTGGTGTCTGTATCATCATTCAAGTTCAAGCTGTAATCTCCCACCAGCCCCACCTGCCATGGATTATCTATCTGCTGGCCCACAGACTTTAAGTTATTAATGATAAAGGCAAGAATGGAAAAAGGTGAGCTTTTTATTTTTGTTCTCTGGTGTAGACTGGCGGAATGCAAAGATCCTTTTTTTAAAAAAAAACACACAGAAATTAATGTCTCTTTGGCCAACAGTCAGGGTTTGAGATGAGGACCTGCCTTTAACCTTAAGGCCAGCTAACTGAGAGATATCATCCCAATTGTTTTGTTGTGTCTTGCAGCCCAGCCTGCTCCGGTCAGATATCGGGCTTGGAAGTCCAGGTCCAGTGTCATCGTCAGGAAAAGCTGGAACACCCTATTACCCGTTTTCTTCCACAAACCCTCGGCGAAGACCGCCTCATGATTCGTCTTCTCTTGGTGAGTAAGAAGCTGCCTGGTCCAGCGTTGTATTTGCACTGTGTCTGTCCAGATATTCACAGCAAGCCAAAAGCAGGACAGGATCACAACAGTCATCCTCTGCTTGTGGCCCCAGCAGCTGGTGCATAGAGGGATACCTAGCCACGCTCTGCCCTCTGCCTTCGGCGGAACACAGAGCCTTCCCCTCTAGGCAGGGAAGCAAATCGCTTTGCCAGTCAGGGGGGGAGGCCACTCGGTTGTGTAAAAAGTTCCACAAGGGAATACAGGCCATGGACGCGAAATGGGTACTTAAGTAGTCACTGGGTACCTTATGCACGTAGCTGACTTGGGCTTTGGTTTCAACGGAGTACGTGTACATTGTGCCGGAGACAGAACTAGGAAGAGATGTTTATTGGGGGGGGGGGCTTCAGGAAATACATGAGAGAAAAACAGGAAACACAGGATCAGTCCAAAATAGATTTTACCGAAATGAAAAACAAAAGCCAATAGCTAGGTAAGCGGTCATTCTTTTGTTTAGGAACATCACTGTAAAATGGGAACCTTTGGAAATACAAACCACATAGAAGAGATACACAGTAGTGTCTCTGGGGCACACCTACCTACTCTTGTCTCTTTCCACCAAGCGCTGGGGGTCTTCTCCTACCTCCTAAATTACTTGCTATGCAATGATAAATGTCCAGGTGAACCTTAGGGTGGGTGGGTTATCATTGAGCCAGCCCTCCGACCCGTTGAGAGTCTCTGTGGCGCTTCAGCTCTCTTAATTCATGACCGTCGGCTGAGCAAGAGTCTGATCACCACCTTTCTTCCTCCTCGGAAGTACATGTTGCAGTGCTTTGCTTTGCTTTGCTTTGCTTTGCTTTGCTTTGCTTTGCTTTGCTTTGCTTTGCTTTGCTTTGCTTCAACAGCAGTACTTGCTCTGGTTAAGAGTTCCAATTACACCAGTTCTAATTATACCTTCCTTTTCTTTTTAAAAATTTTAACATACAGATTCTGTGCAGACAAAGAAAGTAAGAAAAGTGCCCCCTGGCCTGCCTTCTTCTGTAAGTATTCTGTAAAAATAAAAACCAGCTGGCAGTCTAGTTACGGTTGGATTGTTAACTTGTATGTACTAGTCATGTGTAGAATGCGGTTGATATTGTAGGAACGCGGGGGACGGGGGCAATGACTGCAAATCACATAGGTAGCAGCCAGCAAGGCCATGGATTGTGGATCATGGGAACTGTAATACAAACTGTTGTGGGTGGGGAGAATGTGCTGGATGGCCTACCCCTTTAACAAGCAGTATCTCCTAGCGTCTAACCTGGGCCAGCCGTGTGTCAGGGCCGGCATTCCCTGCAGGTCCATCCACGGCAGAAATTCAGAAATGCCCGCCATGCGCAGGCCTTCGCCAGTTCTTCCTCAGAATTTCCAAGCACTCCCCCCCCCCAACTGAAAGCAGGCATGAAAATGGGAAATCTTTGTTCACCTGGGACTCCCGCTTTCTGGGGGTGGGCTCTGGTTGCCAGGGCATCACTTGGGGAGCTGCATTGTACCTCCCACTTCTACTGAAGGAGTTGCTGGAAAGGGGAAACTCTTGTGGCCTTTTGCATCCAGGATGGGGAGGGGAAGACTTGGAGGAGAAAAGGGCCCGACGAAGAGTGGGAATCGGAGACATTCCAAAGCATGTGATTAAGAAGCAAGGGGGAATGAAGAGACGGTGCTGTTGAGAGACCAGAAAGGATGGGAGGGTGGAGGGTGGTCATCGCCAAAAAGAGGAGAGTCTGTGTTGTGGTCGGAGAGAGAGAGGAATGAAGAGCACGTTCAGTGTTCCAGTCAAGACTCCAGAGTGAAAACCTAGCGGAGAGCAGGCTAGGGAGAGAACACACACTTGGATGCAAAAGGAAACTGAGGTGTTAGGTTGCCTGTAAAGCAAACACAATGGTTTGAATCTTAACAAAACACATTGCCATGGTTAACTGAAGGATACGTCCCCCTCGAGTACTTAGAAGTGTGAAAATGGCCTTTATAGAGTGCGTGCGAGAATTGTGCTCGTGTGTGTGTGTGTGTGTGTGCGTGTGTTTTAGGTGCCATCAAGTCAATTCCAATTTGCAGAAACCCTTCCCAGCATTTTCTAGGGACAATGGAGCTTGCCCAAGGCAGCTCTGCTCTTGGGAGGCATAGCAGGGAATCAGGCTCCTGACTTCTGGCTCTGCAGCTGGGTACCCAACGCACTGAGCTGTCTTTTACAGTCAGCTATATTTTACGTTGGCTGGCAATAATTTCTGGAGCATCCGCACACTCTTTACCTGCTTGCCCCTGTCATGCAGATTCCTCTCCTGGGAACAGGAGAGGCCCAGGAACTATCTCCTGTTCATGTCTTTTGATGTTTAATTAGTCATTATGTTGCTGAACAGGAGGACAGACAGAGATTAATAGCTGGAAATCCTAGAAATTTACATTGGTAATAATCCCAGTGGAGCTGAAGACATTAAGATTCGTAGGACATGTGCAGCTCAGCTTGCCTCAATAGGACTGAAGTTATTAATATGCATAAATCACCAAGTCAGATGTTCCTTGTGAAGCCCTGGTGGGTTTTCAAGCCTTCATTAAGCCTTTTCTAACTTGAGCCAAGCATCAGGAAGGCTTTCAAGCAACCAGTTTGTTGATCCCTTTTGCTCAAAAATGCATCCTCTGAGAATAAAGGGTTCTGATGAAGAAGATTTGGAGGGGCTTGGTTGGAAGATTTCTAACATTTTGGGGCTGCTTTGTGATATTAAAAGTGTTTATTCCTCATAGAAAATCATTTTACAAATAAATCTGCATTTTAAAATCCACATCAGATGAAGGCAGAGTCCCCTCCCTCCTTCCCTCCCTCCTTTTCAGAGCAAACAAGTAAGGAGGGAGATGTGCAGAGCCCACTTCTTTGTTGTGTAAATGGAGGTGTTGGGCTTTTATTCAGCCCCACTTAACACATGGAGCAGGTGCACTTGGATGAGTCATAACTCAGAGCCTAGCAGGCTGAATAGAACCAGGGCAAGGAACGGCAGAGCTGCTGAAGCGAAATCTGGTCTGGTTTTTCTGCTTGCTAGCAGAGGTTCTGAAGGGGAGCCGCTGCCTGGATTTGTTTGTATGCTCTGTTGTGTTCAACCACAAAAGATCTGAATCCCCGCTCCCTGTTTTCCATCCTCTTTGGGATGCAGTTTAGAAATATTTTGCACAGCCCTGTGGGCAGCTGTATTTCAAACGTACAAGCGCTTTACGACGGGCACACTCTTTAAAACATTTGGCAGCCTTAAATCTTGCGCTTACCAGCTACCTGGTAACTCGGGAACCTAATACCAGAAATCACCATTCCCCAAACCCAGGCATCTTCCCGTTGCCCCATCTGTTTCTCAAGGAGGAGCTAAAATTAGACCATCCATTTGCTTGATATACAGTATCTCCATTATATATTACATAGGAAAGATTTATAGCCTTTTTGCTATGACTTCTGCTTGACTTAAAAGAATGAAATGCAGAACAGACTAAAACATGTAACGTGCCGTTTATTACTAAAATAGTAATCTAAAGGTAAAGTACAGAGCCCACTCGGTCAAGACTGGCCAAGTGTGGATGAGGTCATGAAAAGTCATGGCTTGTCCGACACCTCAAAAAGTATTTGTATTGCTAATGTTGTACAGTTATAGAAACATGTATTTCTCTTGGTTTCTTCAAAAGAGGAAATCGCTTTGATGCTGGAAGAGCAAGCCGTTGGGTTCAAAACAAATCAGTGATAGACATATGAGTAATTATAAGAAATCGGTATTGGGTGCAGATACTGTTTATCCCCAGACTAATTTTACTCTGGATGCTTTGGTCGGTTGCTCTTCGAGCACCAGGGAACAGGGGTCAAGGTGGAGAAGGAGCTGAAGAAGGAAGACGGGATGAAGGGGGAAATGGGAGGGTGACCTCTTGGGCGCAGAGCTGAGGAGACAAAAACGGATCCCCATTCCAGGTTGGTTCCAAAGGTTTCTTCAAGCAGACACCTGTGCAGTCTCCTCGGTCAGTGAACACCTGCTGTGCAGAAATTGTTTTCGGCATGTGATACCCCTGATGGGTGGGTGAGCAGCCATTCGCTTGCTAGGAAAGGAGAAAATTAGTGTTGCAGCCGGATAGCGTTGCTGTGGGGTCCAGTCCTCCCCCCCAATAGGCCCCACCTCCTAGTGTCCGGCATAGTCTCCCTGGGGGGGGGGGACCTTGTGGTTACCCAGCGAGTCTCTTGTCATGCTGCCCCATGGATCTTGATCAGATGTTTTCTGCCATTCTGGAAAAACTAGTCTGTTTTCAGAAAAAGTCAGGAATGTCCTTTTATAGGGATCCTAGCGGCAATGTGAGGCTTGAGAAGACCTTATGTGGTGGGGAGGCCTACAAACATGAAAAGGAGACATAAATGTTTTGCCTGTGGTTTCAGGGAGGTTGTGTCCACTGTCCAAAGTCCTCTTACATAGTCATCTCCCTTGAGAAGTAAGGTTGGTGCAAATCCAAGGCAGGAGTTGCTGAGGAAGAGTGACCCGCCTATGGGACTCCTTTCCCAAGGAGGTGAAGTTGGCTTCCTCCTTTACATGGCTGAGAAGAAATGTACCGAACATCTGATGCTCCTTGCTGCTTTTGGATTGTTTTTGTTTTATCTGTGTATTTTTTTCTTTTAGAATTCTTATATTTTGTTGTATTGTAAATCCCCCTGAGCCCCCACTGAACAGAGGGGCAGCTCACAGAATACATGGAATAAATGTCTACAGGCAGCAGGTAGAAGCAGGCATCGTTTCATTCACAGCTTCTACTTTGCAGAAGTCTGTCATTGTTCCTGGAAAGCAGCAGCAGATACTTCAGAAATTATTAAATGCTAGAGAAGGGTCAGTATCTTTCTGGTTGGTCATTCTGCATCTGCCTCTAGCAGGTGGTACATGATTGGAAGTTCTTCTGAATGTATTGATCAATATCTCCTGAACTCTTTTTAGACCTCCTGCGAAATCACTGGTATCTGCGGCATTTGGGTCCATGCCTTAGATTGAACATAACAGGAGTCGCTCTTGTGTTGTGTATGTCACTGTGTATTTGTTCCAAGACTCTAAGGGCAGAGAAAGACCTTTCATAAGCGTAATTCTGTTTTGCATTTTTGTGTGTGAAAAGTTCAGTCTATTTGGGGAATTTTAAGCTGCCCTGTCAGAAAAGTAGTAATTATATATGCTTGATTATTATCTAGATACATAAATAATGCAGTACTAGGAAATCTACTTAAGCAGATTAGCTGACAGTCTGAATCTGAATCTACTGAAAGGAAAACAGAAATGTGCCCATGTCATTTGGACTCAGTGTTTAAGCAGAAACTAAATTGGTGGCCATAACAGGGCCAAATGGCTTTGATGTTTAGCGTCATATTCCTTGCAAGACTTGATATAACCTATTAGATCATTAACTGTAGCTCCTTTTATAGGGGTGAGCTGAACATACAGCCTTCTGTCGTTTATCTTCACAACAACCCCATCAAGGTACGTGATGGGGTCCCAGGGCACAGATGAAAAACAGAGGCTAAGCGTCACTCTCCAAGAATATCTTTTGTTTTTTGCCTTTTATAAAGTTTGATTTTTATAACTTACACAATATTATTGTCAGCAACATTGTCAGCTACTGAGGAGTGATAAGCAGCTGAACCGTAAAGCCGCACAGGGCCAGTTTTAGTTCCAGTGGGTAACTGCGCCAACCCATGGATCGCACTGGTCTCTTCCTAAGGCTGCTGAATCGGTGGTTTTCTTGAAGCGAGACCAGGGAGACGGGGTTTCTGGCTCCATTTTTGGTTACTAACCAAGAAGTGCCTCCTGGCCCCCGAGTGCCAGTCCAGAGCTCTGGGGTTCCTCCTCCTGCCGGTCCAAAGGCAGATGCAGAAAGCGGGCTGGCCCAGCGCCCAATGTGTCACTCCCTCCTCACCTTTCCAGTGCCCGACTGGGAGAAGTGGACTTGTACACGAGAGCTCATGTTGGAAGGGAGCCGTTAGTCTTTAGGCGCCATGGTGTTTTTGTCTTCT